TCACCTCACCTGTGGTTGCTGACCACCAGTGTTCCCCTCCTTCTCTTCACCCGTATACACCTCAAAGATACACTTTACAGGTAAAACCACTTGCTGGGACTGTTCCAGCAGTTCACCCAGACTAACTCTTTCTAAATGTGCCAGCTCAGAGTGCAGCACGTTCTTGGGAGCACCCTACACCTTCCTGATAACTCTCTCAGAAGGGCAGGCATTATGGGTATTTATTTTAATGGTGGTAGTAGTACCTCCAATAGACATTTCATTTTAAAAAATTGTATGGATTACCGTGTAATCGAAGAACCAGAAATCAATACTACTGTTGTATTATTTCTAAGGTCAATTTAAAGCTGACCTTGGGCAGAGAAGGGATTAAATCACATGTTCATTTCAGTGACCTTGGATTCTCTGTAAGAACACCATCCCCTTGAAGTTGGCACAATGAGAAGCTAGACCCAGACTGCTGAAGCCTGCCACTCACAGGCCTCTTGTGTGTACGTCTTGGGAGTTCTCCGTGGCCAAGGTCCTGAGTTCGAGAGCTAGTCAGTCCTCATGGTCTCAAAGGACTGGCGTGTCCTTTTGTGACTTTGAAACCCTCTAGTCCTCACTTCATTGTCTGCACTTTCTTCCAGCAACCATCTCCTTCCCCAGGGTTTTTTCATGCCAATCATCTGCCTTCCACTTTTCCAGATAAACGAATGCACCCTATGAAAAGGGCACTGGCTGCTTCCATGAAGCCCACTCCTGTGGCTTGTTTCTGGGAGTCCTGGCCACGCATCCCACAGGAGGACAGGACTGCCCGGTGCTGTCTTCCTGATAGACCTCAATCTACCATCCTGTCTTGGCTTGGGATTGGACTCTGACCCTACACTTTGAGAGTGTCTGTAGGCATTTCCTCAAATCCTGGTGCTGTACCAATGTCTGGGGTTTCATAGCGGACCTCAGGCTGGTTCTGGTGTCCCGTGTTAGCAACAAGGTTAAGGTACGGAGCCTAGCGTTCTTAACTGAAATGAACATCTGCTTACTTTCCGCTGAAAGAAGCATGTGATAAAGGGTACGATAGATTATTTTACACTCGTCTCTATTTGCTGCTAATCATAATTTGGAAGTGGAATTACTCTCATCTGGAGCTGTAGTATAGATGTCCCAACGCTTAAAAAAAGAAAGCGAGATGGTGGGAGGGAGGGGCATGTTTTCTAAAATTAGAGGCAATGCAGAGAGAGTTTACTGCAGCTAAAGTGGTACCTTTAATAAGAATCCATAAGCTCACCACTGCTCTGCAAAGCTGGCTAACCACAAATCCTTTGGTGCTTTTATTACTATATATTCTTTTTAACTTCAGAATCTATAACATCCACTAGTTAAACATTGCTTTCAGGATTCATATTTCCACTCCTACATGTAACCAGCTCAGCCCTCAGGAAACCAAGAGAGGATCTAGGGGACTCTCAGGCCTGTAGCTGCCCCCCAGGAACGTCTCCCAAATGTACAGAAGAGACCAGTTGATTGTTGGGCCCCGTGAGAGTTCTAACCTGTCTGAGGCGACTGGTGACCTGCCCTTCTTGCACAGCAGCTCACCACCTGGGAAGAGTAGCCACCTCTGTAGGACCTCATGCCCCTGAGTCACCCTCAGGCAGGTTTCTTATCCTCAGCACTATGGACGTATGGAGCCGGAGCACATTTGGGGGACGGGGGCTGTTTTCTGCACTGTAGGATATTTAGAAGCATCCTTGACTTCTACCTCCTAAATTCTAGTGCTGGCCACCCCCACCCCCAGGTCCCTAGCAGCTAAGATGACCAATTAGGAAGCACTGCCCTGAGCCCAGAGAACCTTTCCCGGTGACAGCACGGTGAGCCCCCAGGCATTCCCAGAATCCCTGATTCTGAGGTGGGATGGATGACAAAAGATTTCCAGGCACCTTCCCCGACAGGCCGCTCTTCTGCACGTCTCCGGCTGTGCGGGTGTCATTGCCGGCTCTCCCTACCGTGCACGCTCTCCCAGGCTCTGCTCTCCCTACACAGTTGTCCAGTCAGTCAGTGTTTTCTCCAAATGCTGGCTTATATCTCTTCTTTCAGTTCCCATCACCATTCTTCGTTCCAGCCTTCATCATCTGTCACCCGGTCCATGGGGAAAGCCTCCTAATAAGCCTCTTTGTCTCCTATCTCTTGCCTCCCAGCCCCTCCTTCACATTGCGCCCGATTCCTGAAGGCAGATCACGCTGCCCACATCATTCCCTCTGCCGCTGCCCAGGGCAGGTCAGCCAGCTTTCGCTTGAAGGACCAGATAGTACATATTTTAGGCTTTGTAAGCCAAACCAGAGATATTATATAAGTGCTTATATAACCACTTAAAGCCATTTCCAAATGTAAAGCCAGTCCGGCTGGTATGGCTCAGTTGGTTGAGCGTCTACCCAGGAGGTCACCGGTTCAGTTCCTGGTCAGGGCGCATGTCCATGTTTTGGGCTTGATCCCCAGTAGGGGGCATGTAGGAGGCAGCCAATCCATGTTTCTCTCTCATTGATATTGCTATCTCTCTCTCCCTCTCCCTTCCTCTCTCTGAAATCAATAAAAAAAATATTTTAAAAAAAGTAAAGGCATTCTTTCTTATGAACTACAAAGAAACAGGTGGTGAGCTGGATTTGGCCACGGGCCGTAGTTTGCCCATTCTGTGGCCTAGTAAATAAACTTGATGACCACGCATTTACGGCTCTGCATGGCCCACACTTCTCTTTCCCACCACATAGCTTCGTGCTCCCCACACCACTCCTCATCCCCCACACACAGCCTCCTCTCCGCCCAGGCACCTGTGTTCATGCTCTTGCCTCACCTGGATCGCCTTCCTGAGCCTTTTCTGCCTGTTGAAATTATATCCCTCAAGATGCGCCCAGATGCCACCTCTCATGTTCCAGGAGGTCAGGGTTAAACCCTCTCGTGTCCGTGCTGCTTTTCCTCTGTACCTCCGGGTGGGCACGGGTGTCCTCCTTCTCTGTATGCTGCTGGCACACATGCCCAGCTGCCTCCGGAGCTCGTGAGCCTGCCGAGCGGAGACGGTGCCCCTTCACAGCCCCCAGCACCTTGCAGAATAGAATAATGGCAGGTAGTACTCTGTGAGCCGGTGGGTGAAGCATTGAATGTTCTTCCTCGCCGACATGTTCAAAGGTTAATATCTCTCCATCTTACATATGAAGAGTCTGAGGTGCCGGAGAGGTTAAGTTGCCCAAGGTCACACAGCTAGTAATGGCAGAGCTGGAATCCAAATCAGATAATCAACTGCAGCGCCTGGGCTCTGCCACGATATTATGTATAACCAGGGGCCCAGCAAAGAGTGGTAGTGTTGGAAAAGGATGCCATACCACACCATACAGGTTTGGCCTACCCATACATGGCATTTAAATCTGTCTCAGTGAGCCCTAGCTGGTTTGGCCCAGTGGATAGAACGTCGGCCTGTGGACCAAAGGGTCCCAGGTTCGATTCCGATCAAGGGCATATGCCTTGATTGCAGGCACCTCCCCAGCACGGGCCCTGGTCAGGGTGCATGCAGGAGGCAACCAGTTGATGCGTTTCTCTCACATCCTTGTTTTTCTCTGTCTTTCCCTCTCTCTTCCACTCTCTCTAAAAGATCAATGGAAAAATATCCTCGCGTGAGGATTAAATAAATA